CAGTGACGGAACAGTAAACTTGTTAGAAAGGGTGAGGTAAGCAGAAAAAGGATCTATGTGTACAAAAGGTGTGAAAGGTGGAACAGTGAGACATACGGGCTAGTAGACGTAAGAAAGGAGAGGGGTTGCTCCCCTGTGCGGGGTCGGGGTCGTCGCACGTTCTTGACGTGGGTCTGTCGCCCCGCCAAGGTCCTTATATGCCTCCGTCTGTCGCGTCACTGATACGGCCGTGTTCCTCTTTCGAATTTTCTTTGCCCTTTCCTGTATGCGCGAGTTCAACCTAACCTAATCCTTTCTAACCTTAATCTTGTACTGTTCGTTTGACGTTTGCCACAGGCTCTGTACTCTGACTTCTTTGCACACAAATCGGATATTTACTTTTCCTTTTCACCGTATTACAGCGAATCCGTAGTTTCGTTGATCTTCGAACGTTTCTTTCTTTTTCATCTTGCTCTCTCGCTCGCGTTCAGGAATGGCGCGAAAGTGTTCAAAATATGAAAATGCTACTTTTACGTGCGAAAAATCAATACGATGTTCTTCAAACATCGAAGTGACATAAATCAGCTGTTTCTGTTGGAACTTTGCGTTCCAAGCGATTTAACATTTTCGAACAACGATCGTATTCAGTGTGTTTCAATATTTTTCGTGTTTTTCGCAAGACTTTGTCAATTTTTGAATAATTGATTTCACTAATTAGCGAGATTTAATGGCGCGAGTGTTTATGCTTATTGTCGCTCTAATACACGTGTACGAACAAGCGTCTAAAGAGAAAAGTTCTTTACGCGTGATGCTTTGGCTATTATTTACACGTTTACATGATCGACGCGCGACTGTCGATGTTTTCCGTTTCAATTCGAACGTCAAGGGGTTAACTTCCGGCGACGTGTTATACTCCGAGTTAAACACATCCGTGGAAAACAAGCAAAACGAAAATGAGCAAGAGAATTGAAAAGTGAAAGGTAAACTTTTTATCGCGGCGAAAATAACAAACAATATATTTAAAAATATTCCGATCCGATTAATCTGAAAACATTTGTACATCGAGCGGCGTTCCCTTTAATTAACATTCTTTTATTATCGATAAGACATAGCGGTTGCTCAAACACTCCAACGCCGGAACTATAATTCAAATTATCAAAATATTAATTGTTTTAAATGTCAATTATTTTCATTTGTAACGTTAAATGCCAAATTAACACAGAATAAATATAGAAATTCATACAGAAAGAAAGATAATGAAATTAAAAAAAAAAAAAACACATCCGTCAGCAATAGTGTGTTAATATGTAGGGCACGATCGTGTATTGTAATGCTGTGTGTGTGCCGTTCGGGGGGACAATTAAAAGTAGCGCCTGTTATAGCCGTCAGTGATGGCAGAGAGGGCTGATAGAGGGGAAGTATCGGCCGCCGTGTCGGCAGCGGTAAAACGGTGGTTAGGGGTGTACACTCGGATTTACCAATTACCTTACCATGCTCAGCAAATCAGAGTTCAATTAACAAATTTCATAGATGCCCGGCCATGTAAAGGCCGGTGAACACATAACCTAGAAACACACCGTACGTGAAATATCGTTTTGACTCTCTATTTGAAAAGTGTTTTTTTTTTTCCTCTTTTGTGTAACAGTTATACAACATTTCCTTTTCCATTTCCGATCGATATATATTGAACGCCCGTTATTCCTGTTGCATGTGTGACGTAGCTTTACTTTATATGATAATACGGGATCGTATGTGTTGTGTTTATGGAAATTTTTTTTTTTACTTTAATACTTTAATGGAGTTGATGTTTTTAATATCGAGGTTAGGGAATATTATCGTATTCCCAGATCGGATATAACACTATTTATTAATTTCCATCATATACAGTAATTAATATTCTATAAATGAATTGAGAAAAACGTAGTAGAAGTTGTTTTATTCGAGGCTTGTACAATCGTTGAAGCTACTTATGTTACAATTACAAAGTACAGAAGTACGAATCCTCCAGTTGTATGGGAAAAAGGAGTGCATTGTGTGTTTTCCTTGTAGATACAGATATTACTCAATAACCTCTCAGTCAATATTCAACTACATCTGAAGTCCGTGTTCACAAATACAATTGCCGATTTGTAGCGAATCGGTGATTACTCATTTACGATACGTTATAATACGTGATAAAGAGGCTCGTTAGCCGAAAAGGCAACACGTACGATACGATTGTGTTATTGAAAACAAAAGAGACACACGCAAATAACCAGAAAAACTTGTTCTCCCGCAGGCGGCGATCCGCGCGGTGGCCAGGGTCGAAGGGTTTGCACGTGAAACGGTGGCTCGGCTCGTAAGAGACGGCGGCGGTATCGTCGCTTCGTGATCGCGGTGGGGCCGTCGTCGAAGCACGGTGGTCGTTCGGGGGCGCAGTGGCTCGTAGTGTCGCGCGTGCCGATTCGTACGACAATTAAAACTGGCGGGCAATCTGGCTCGGTCTCCCGTGGTGGTGGGTGGTAGCGGCGGCGGCGGTGGAGGCAGTGGAAGCGGCGGCGGAGGAGGAGGTGCTGCTAATGGTGGTAATAACGGCAGCAACGGGGGTGGATCTGGCGGCGGCGGTGCCCGGGGCGCAGAGCCGGCTGCCGCTTCCACCGTGTCCGTGGCCGTGGATAATGTTGCCGGTCAACCGAGTGGCCCTCAGATAATCGAATGGGAGGAGACCGATCGTTACTCCTTCGATGACTCCGATCGCTTCGAAGAGGATTCTTTGTGCAGCTGGAGCAGTGAGCCGGAATCGCTGTGTAACAATTGGAGGGGATGGCGACGACCTACCGCTGGTTTCGGTACCACCAAGAAGTCAGAAGGTGAGTGTAGCTTTCTTCTTCTTTTTGGCTTTCTTTCTTCACGTTGGATGACGTTAGGTAGATATAGCGTGTCCGAAGTTCGACGGTCGTTCGGGGTCGTTTGGGGAGGGACCAGTTCGAAGAGGAAGAAGGGAGGACGTTGTTTATAAGATGACTCGGTGGGGATAGTGACCTTGAATGGTTCAGTGATTTAGGACACGCTATAGCACCGCATGCCACGAGGGTTTGTTGGAATTGTCGTACGTGCGCTCTTGTACAAGGTGATCCAAGTTTGATGGTTACAAGTGATTAACATCAAGGAAAATCGCATTAGTATTCGTTATTTACTCCAAGTAGATTAATATGAAACATTTTACACGATCGTTATTACATACACAGTTATTCACAGAGTAATCAGCGTAATTTTGGTGAATAACTCTGACACGCCAATTGGCACAAGTTTACGTGAATCACTCTCTATGATTGCGACGTACATAATCCGACGGCGAAATAATTGGGAATTTTTTATTTATGAGACACTAGAATTCTGTAATTTGTTATTCCGAAATACTTCTCAACTTAATCGTCCGTGTAGTCCGACAAGGTAGATCCATTATCTTTGGTAGTCTAAGAGTTATGCATTGTCACCGCGTCCGCAAGATGAACATGTGGCGATGCATTGTAATTCTCGCGTCTCTTTAACCGCCGTTCAAGATGCCCGCATATCCTATGACGCATATAAATTCCACGGCCCGTTGGCTCGAGTAAGCAAGGTTAATGATTTCCCATCTTCCTGATGCGCCGTCACGTTCCTTCGTGCTGTTTCATTCTTACCTTTCGCAATCGATGATGTTAGACTTTTCAATAAAGGGGACTCGATGATTTTGGGTCGATCAGCGTTTTGCTTCTTGCTAGAGTTATCTGCTGACTTCGTAAAGCTTTCGCAACACGGGAATTATGTTTTTCATTTTTAACGTTACCGAGAGATTCTTTTCTCGTGAAAAAAACTTTTCTCTCCCAACGGGGAGAAAGTAGATGTTAAAATGCGATTGGAAGGCGTAAAGTTAAAGCGTAACATTCGCCGCTCGAGGATTTACTGAAGATTTATCTTACGATAAATCGAATTGAAGAAATGGAGCGTCGAAAAGCGATGATCGAAATTTTGCCTGTTGGCATCTGTAATTTCATTGGCACGTGGCCCAACAATCACGCGTGACGCAAATTACTTTCTTACCTCTGCTCGACAGCGTTACATTATTACATTACACCTTGTAATAATAATTTGCTACATGGTTGCTGTGTGTCGGAGCGTGAAGTCGAGGTCAATTATTTTACCGCAGCATCGATTTGATCGTGTCTGTCGTAAAAACACGTTCCTTGCAGTTACACAATCTTTCTTAAAGTTTGTCAAACCGCGGCGACAGTGTATGAATAAGTTTAATACGATTCGAACGCGATTGGTGCGATTGAATTTCTTACGACATCCTTCCCGAAGATATTCTTTCCTGTCGATTTGCAATCGTTGCCTCAGTAAGGTGAAATACATTAATAGATAGCCTAGTTCAATTGTTAAGTGATGTAAATAATCGTGTAAATAATATTTCTGTTTTCGCGTTTCTATCTCAAAGAGAGATGATAGAGCTTCACAAGATATTATGTCTTTCACGTGGAATATATGTTTCAATTGTATCATCGTCGTTACGGAATTTTATTGTGTTTCATTATGTCACAATGTAAACGAACATTCTCTTGGCAGAATTCTAATCTTCTCTGATCCGAGGCATCGTATATGTAATCGAAGTTTTATGACTTCATAACTTGTTGCATA